GAACCGTGCCAAAAACAATGCCATTACACATTAGCATTAAAGGATAGGAACTTATCAAGAGAAGCAAGTAGAGTAAAATGTTCTCTGTGAACATCAGATTATGCAGAATTGGTCTGAAATTTAGGTTTTATTACTTGCCCTCAATTTGTTGGGATTGTTGGGACTCACAGATTTATTGAATATGTCTGGGCTGTTTTATGGTGCTGCAGATCCAGTGATGTACCTACTACACCACTGGAGATCCTGAGCAGCACTAGGCTCTTATTCCCTGTGGACCAGATGCTAGAGGGGGAAATGACACTTTGTTACTGTTGGACCCAAGCTATTTCAACCTGAAGTCAGTTGCAACTGAATTTCATTTGAAATACAAGGGACCAAAAGAAAGCTTCATGGGCAAAGACCCCTAAGCTTAGTGCAGCTATGGGCACTTCTGGACTCCAAGTCTGCAATAGCAAGTTACCAGTCTCCTGATTAAGGCTGAATGACCTATTTCCTTTAAAAGCAGAATGAACCTATTGTACTCCTAGGGACAAACAAATAATTTCAAATGAAACAGGTGGAGATTTAAACCTGTGCCCCAAACTGAGCTCTTTGTGCAGCTTTAAAATAGTTTGGATAAACTTTCTGCCATCACAAGTGGGGCTGTCCAGGAGAGATGGCACTGAGCCAGAACCAGAGAGAGCTGAGTTGTTTTTTCTAGGTTCTGACCCTGCTCTGATAGCGCCCTTTGTTAAGTCACATAATTTCTCTACATCTGTTTTTTCTTCCGTAAACTGGGTCTCATGGTGGTTATTCATTCACCTTTGTTTTGAGATCTCTGATTGAGAAATGCTGTAGAAACCCTGTGTTTGGCTGTTATGCCATCTTGTTCATTTCCTTGTGGCCTTTCCATATCCAAAGGGTGCATTTTTTTCCATGAGAGCTTGTTCTAATAAGAGTTCTACCATAATCAAGAGTAGAAAGTATCCACAATCTTACAAGCAAGCAAGTTTCCTGAGTAATTTTAGCCTAGTTTTTTAGACTGAGGCAGTTAAGTTACAGGAAGGTCTGGATCTATTTCTGAAGCTTGTAACAACCGCCCACTGCAATTTGTAACTTTACAAACTTGTGCTTTCATTGTTTGGACTTCTTTTAACACAGTTGAAAATAATTCTATTTTCACCTACCTCACTACTACCCAAGCAACACCTTTGAATGTATCTCCTATGAATTTTATTGTATAGTTTGGTTAAACAGTAAGAACTACTTACTACTACTTAGCTGTGCTGCCGCTGCCGCCAGGGCTGCTGAGGGGGCGGGGGCCGGGGCCAGGGCAGGCTGCACTGCCGTTGCTGCAGGGGCTGGGACCATGGAGGGCTGGGCTGCGTAGCCTCCCCGCTGGGCCCAGGCAGGCTGGGCTGTGCCACTGCTGCTGAGGCAGGCCGGGCTGCGCCGCCTCCCCGTGTATACGCCGCCGTGGGAAATACACGGGTGCAGCGTATACATGGATTTATTTACAAAAATACAATTTCCCACGGGTTATACATGGGTGCGGCTTATACCCGTGGGCAGGGTATATGCGTGAAAATACGGTACTTTTTGGTTGTCCCAAACAGAATAGCTCTTTCTAGAGTTTGATCTTAAAACCTGATTTGGCTTTTGTTTATCATTCTAGTTATACCTCTGCAGTTCAGACACAGGAGAACTTTCCTTAATATTGGCTTTGTTT